GATATTGTGTTGCACTATTCTAAACGCTGATAGTTTGTACAATTTTGATATCTTTAAGTTAAAATTTGTAATAACCATAATTTTATAACATTAATACTATCAGTATAGATGATGTAATTTAACTGTCATATAATAATTATCATCATAAATGTTACTAACAAGAATGATTTTATCACGCTTTCATACTTTCTAAGTAGAAGCTAGAAACGTTTTACTCATTTAAAAAATAATAAGACAATCAAAAACTAATAATAAGTATAATAACTTTTATTGTTCAGACCAACCTAAAAACTAAAATAATTAGTAGATCATCAAATATCTGTATAAATTATAGACGTATGTCATTATATTATTACACATAAATAAGACGACAAACGAGGAATCTCGCATAGGTAAAATACACAATACAAGTACGAATAATATGAACAAACATAAGCTACAAACATGAATCATTTTCACATATACCATCGAATCAATAAAGTAGGTATCACATCAATAACTCACAATATGATTATGTACGAAAATGTAAATGATTAACATTAAGATATTGAAAAGCAAATTAGTCTACAAGAGGAATATACGTAAATAAACATAAATGTTCGAATTCATCAGAAACTAATATCTAAATACAATATAATAGTTATTGTAATGTTTATTCAAGTATATTAAAATGATTGTGGATAATTCATAACTCGTAAATAACATAATACAACCATCAACAAGACAAAATAGAACTACTACAGTATCTGGAAATATTAAATTGGCAAATTAGCTTACTAACTACAACAGCAGTAGCTTTTCTATTAGTAAAGATCATGTGAAAACTAAGACGTTCGACAGCTGTCCGTAAAAAGGAAATGAGCCGAAATAGTTTTTGGAAAATTTATATTGATGATATATATTTGCTATAATCTATTATATAGGTTAGAAACTAAGAACCAACAACATATATTATTATAAAAATATTTCAATTTACATATTAGAACGTATTTGTGAACAATATTCTCAATCGTTAAAAGGCGTTTATGAAACTTAAAAGTTTTGAAACTCTTTTTATACTACTCAAAAATTCAATGGTGACAAAAAAAAAATATAAATGTTAGTACCAGTGCCTATAATCCTCACTATTAACAAGATTGAAAATGTGTGTAGATATAGGAAGATTTTTTATCTAAAATTAAAACACGTTTTCAAAATTAAAAAAAAATAGATAACTATATACAAAATAATCTAATTTACGTTAAAGATCTTGGGTGAAACTATGAGTGTATTTAGTTGTACAACCATGTGGCTTATTATTTTGTTTTTCTTTTAAGTCATCAACTTTTTGCCCAGTAAAAATGTATCTATTTATCATTTTTGAGAGAGATTTCTTCAAAAAATTAATCATGATCATAGAATAGATAAGTCAAATGTACTCAATAGTCCGTAACTTTTCAAAACAAACAGGTAAAAATTTAAACAAATTACTGCAATTTATATAATTAATCTATAGGTAGTTAATTTATTGTAATTCAAAAACTAATAAACGTAGATTCTTGAATTTTCACTAAATATATTATTATATAGCGTTTTCCAAACATTTTTTAATACAAATAATATGTTGGCCTTCTTCGTCATGTTTATAGACATTTGAACTGTTTGTCTTTTTCAAGTAAACAAGCTTAATTAAGTTTCTCAAACATTTTTCTAACAGTAATTATAAAACATTAAAATATAACGTGTCACGGTTTGTTTCAATAAAAAACTATTTAAATATATTATGTTGAAATTCAAAAAAAAACTATTAATATAAATTTGAAATTTCTTTTCTTTCTCTTTTCCATTACTTAATACATAATTATTTTTTATACACAATAGGATTTTCTAAATATTTTGATTAAT